GTCACCAAGGCGTTCCGGCCTCCGCTTCTGTGACGGTATGTATCGATCCCCCGTCCATAAGAGTTCCCATTCAGGTAGCGTCCTCTTCCTCGGTGCTGTGTGGATCTGTGTTCTTCTTCGTTTGTCTACCTTTTGGAGGCCCTATTACCTAAGATTGTAGCATAATGAATAGCAGCATTTGCTGTATAAGCTGCAATTTTCGGTATTTTGTATGATCTCAAACGATATCCTCAGGGGATCACGGCTCATTCTAAGTCATTTATCATCCGTTTTGAGATTCGTGTGGAGGTGGAGTCTTGCCAGCTCACAACGTGGCGGTTTTTGCCAGCGAGAGAGTACGAAAAGCAATGCTATAAGGTGGAGATTCAACAAGTCTATCCGTGTTATCAGGCAAAGTCTGCATTACACCTCCACACGAATCAGGGAGTCGATCATATCTTTGCAACAACTCGATGGAAGTTATGCTGTTGATCAGTCATGGCAGTTCTAAGCGTATTTCCAGTAGCACCGATGAAAACTGGAAGTGAGCTTTTTTGATAAACCCCAGCACGACGGCAGAGGTTCATCGAAGATTTCGTCAACTTAAATTTCCGCTTATTACTTCCACAAAGATGCTGAGTGCTATCATGATAGATCAGTAGCACGGCTTTACGAAGTTTTCAAGTCATTTATCTTTGCGAAAACTCAATGAAAACTTCGTAAATCCGTGCTACTGATCTATCATGACAGCACTCAGCTTTGTGGAAGTAATAAGCGGAAACTAAAGTTGACGAAATTTTCGATGAACCTCTGCCGTCGAGCTGGGGTTTATCAAAAAAAAAACTCTTTTCCAGTTTTCATCGGTGCTACTGGAAATATGCTTAGAACTGCCATAATGGATCAACAGCATAAATTTACGAAGTCTTCATCGAGTTGTTGCAAAGATAAATGAAGTAGAAGATGAACCGTGATCCCCTGAGGATTCCGTTCGGGATCATACAAAATACTGGAAATCTCAGCTTATACAAAGTGCTGCTATTCATTATGGTACAATAGGGTAGTGAGTCAAAACAAAAACAAGGAAGAACACAGATCCCCACAGCACTCTAGAAGAGGATTTACTACCTGACTGGGAACTCCTGTCTGGATGGACAATTGATACATACTGCCCCTGAAGCGGTTTTATCGCTTCAGAAGCAGGGTGGTGTAATGCTACTTGGGCGCGAGCTCCAGAGCGGACGGAATATATGATGAGGGCCAGAATATATGATGTATCATATATTCTCCTCTGTTGCCTTTGTTGACTTGGGCATTCAAGGCAGAGGAAAGACAATTATTCCAGACTGTTTCTTTCGCTATGTGACATTCTGCAAGCGGGAAGAGTCTCCGCCAATAAAATTTGAGAATTGAATTCTCTAAAGTCGCCTGCACGAAATCGCCCGGGTTGCTGTAGGCTGAACGCACTCGCGGCTATCGAATACGGGCGCTATGATGACTATGATGCGCGCGAATGCCAATGTTAGCGTGCAAGAGACACGCACGCCGGTGCTCAGTCCGGGCGATTCTGTGCAGTCAACTATAATATCTATGCGAAGCTTCTTTATTTAACTGAGTTTGCCTCAGAGAAATTTAATGTCATATGATCTAGAGTGGTTTTGAACAAGCTATCTGTTTACTTTAGCATCACTTTCGAATTCCACGCGCTTGTAAAAACACGTTGGAGCATGCCTATCATGTACTAACTTGATGTCGAGGCAAGGCAGCAGATTTGCAAGGTCGTATCTGCATGTTTCATGTTTTATTATGTCTCTTTTGCTTTTTGCATCAAAAACGAAATCGAGTTTCACTTTACTAAGTACATATGTATCTGGCTTTGTGCGCTGAACCCAGGGGCGCGAACGCGGATTCAACTTTTCCCGCAGGCACATAGGACTCAGTTTTTACAAGTTGCCAAGATTGCATTCCCGTGTCTTGTCCGGCAATAAATTGTATCACCAACGAATGCTATGGTCATCTGTATCACCACCCCAGAGGTGTGGACATCTTTTATGTATTAAAAAAAAAGGTGATGTTGCAAATTATATGCGTAGCTATTTTGAAAGCGCTACAGTAGCGTTTTAAAATGAAGGTCCAGCTCTTCGTCTGCGTTATCAAACGTCTGCAACGTTTCGCCCAATCTATAAATGGCAGAAATCGACACCGATGTTTTTGGGGAATCCCAAGGGGATCTCCACTCGTTCTCAAAATCATTTGTCTTTCATTGAATTTATTGAATAGGTCGGTTTCGCTACGGATCTATAGGCTGCAGCATGGCGAAGGCGCAATCTTTGAGCACGAATGCGGCTTTATTAGTCGCAGAGCGCATAAGACGCACTATTTACAACGGTGAAGATACAGTCTGCCCCAATCCCAACCAGGTTAAAATTGGCATGGCGGGAACCCGTGCCGCGAAGGTATTGGGTCACATCTACGGCTAGCCTGTCTGCTCTCTCCTCAATCGCTTCGCTCTCTGCGACAGCGCGCGTATGCAGCGCAGACCCTTAGCGTTGTGAACGTGCAAATTCAGCCGGCGGTTCGGCCTGATCCTGATTTAATGAAGCTTGAGCCGACATAGAGCATGATCGAGACACACAATCATGATAAATGTCGTTGAATGTGCCCGTAGTATTCAACAATGTCAGCGGAACTCGCGCTCCAGCGCCAAAAGTTGCGCGCGCAAACAGGGTGTTCTGGCGCTTTGGTAGATCCCAGACTTATCCGGTTCAAACGGTTCATCTACTTCACTCCTTCGCTGTTGGTAAAATCACTGAAATGACCAACGGTCAATGGGGTGAACCGGATGAACCGATTAAAACGGCTAAGTCTGGCGCCTACCTCTGGCGTATCTTGACTTTTTGGGGTGCTTTCGGGCACTTTCGGGTGTTTTTCAGCACTCATGAGCGATTTTCGTCCATGTCCCATGTGATTTTAAGCAGTGCCGACCATTCTTTGACTCTCGTTAGTACCAGCGGCGTTCGATGCTCATCTGACAAGTGAGTAGAACAGTAGAGTAAAGTGAGTAGAACACGCAAACGCAGCTGGCAGGGCAGTCGCTTACGCTGTGGATCTCCGCTGGTAGGAGATTGGTGCGCCCCTGGTACGCTAGCTTTGGCGCCTTCGTTGAGGACCGGAGTTCCACCAAATTTTACTATACCGAATTAGCACAAAAGAATCATTATTTCGATCAATAGACTTCGTTGATCGAAATTAGGGGACCATGCCCCTTCAACACTCGGCTGATTGCTGTCAGGTCAACCGATAAAAACATCTTAACTTATCCCTGTCAAGTACCGAGAAACAGCCACCTCCGTCAATGCTGAGACAGGCGAACCATTGCGTCTATCCCATGCGGGTACTACTTGTGCTCCAGCGTGTGATAATTTGGTGGGACGCCGCTTTTAGTCACACCGGTACGCCGCTGATAGCGCTGATTACGGAACGCCGCTAGTACGCTAAGCGCAGAACGTGGGACGCCTCTGGTGCGTCAAGCCATTTAGGAACGCCGCCTTACGCAGCGAATGTCAGAGTCGTCTAAATAGATTACAACAAAAGAAAGTTACACAGTGTACAAGATCTGCATGGTTTACATAGTTGAAATGTGCCGCGATAGTGAACCTACATTGTAACTATTCAATCGTCGGTGCTGGAGTCGTTCTCTTTATTGCTAACTTCCAACATTTGGCATTTGTGAGGCGCTGATCATTTCCCCGCTTTTGTTGAGATAAATAGTAACATTTTTGTTCATTTAGCTGACCATTCGATTCTAAACATCATGCAATTTTCAATTTTTGTGGTCTCATGTTGCCCTCATTCCTTCAGCCAGATATCTACATTTTCTTCATTCTCTGTTTTCGCAACTTATAAGGAATGCTACCTAACTTAGCTCGGCCTTTCGTTAAAAGGCATATATATTCTGAATCAGCTTCAAATGCTGTTCCAAATATGCCATTCCTAGCTGCCACGCACCATTCTGAAGCGAGTTATGGGCTTTTTCCTACGTAAAATTGGCGTACTACTGAATATGAGAAGACTGCCTGTAGATAAAATCTGCAAGAAAAAGGTGCTGAGGTATCGAAATACAAATCCAATCTTTTCTCACTAAAAAAGCTTAACGCAGGTGTATTAGCAGTTTGATGATATGACGTTACGTCCTTGAGTCGATGAGCATGCCAATTTTGCGCAGGAAAAAGCCCATAACTCGCATCAGAATGGTGCGTGGCAGCTAGAAATAACATATTTGGAATCAGCGTTTGAAGCTGATTCAGACTATATATGTCCCTTGCCAAAAGGCCGAGCTAAGTTAGGTAGCCTCCCTTGTTAGCTCAATTCTTACATCTCAAACAACTATTTTTCGTTCTGAATCAACGATTATAGGAATAATTTTCTCTCAGAGAAGACTAAATTACTGTGAAAAGATATTAGTGGAGATATTTGGTCCGTTCACTTTACTCTGCGAATACGCAGGAACAGATGTTTCATATGCTTCTGTTCTGCGAAATATTGTGCGTTTTTTCATGGGTTGCAGTTTGTCATCATCGAATGTACCACTCGTTGAGCATTTGTTGCGTGGGGTACCTGTGCTGGTTTCCCAGAAAAATCTCTGAATCAGTTGCTGTCGTTTTACATATGATAATGCAACGGCATTGTTGATTCTGTCGAGTTTAACACAGCCGGCCTCTGTGTGGAAGTGCTTCAGTGTCTTTTGGTACAATGCTTTCTTTCTCTTTATATTCTTTGCCAGTATCCTTTTCCTATTTTGCAGTTCCGATATTTTCCTAAAAATACTATCGTACTTCTTTTCCATCAACTCGTTCTCGTTACCCAACTCTTTGCAATTCTTAGGTCATTGTTGATATCGCCTATTGAACTCTCAGATGTTCATCGAATCCGACAAAGTACAGAACGTTTTTATAAGCGGTTGCTGACCTACGATTAGGGCATTTATGCGTTTACAAATTTCCCTGAAAATTTTTTCATTCCAGTTATCCTGGACCCCAATACTCACGACAACCTGGTATGGACTATGATCCACATACAGCTACGATGAGTACCATGTATATGGGTCAACAAATGACGGTAAGCTTGTGATACGTTCTCGAAAGTGCGTGTTCATCTTCTCTTTTTAGCATCCCGCCCCGATGCCTATACAGCCGCCACCACAGCAAATACAACAGCAACGAAATAAAAGTATATTAACTATACAAGATCCAAATACATTGGAAGAAGTCGATCTAGGCGCGAGGGCAGATGCAGCTGCTGAAGCGAAAAAGGATGAAGGAAAAGGTTTGTGGCTTGGCATGGTTGGAATCTATTGACTGAAATCAGTAATTTGATAATTCTGTGATCTTAATCACTTTATAGATGAGTAATTCCTTACCCATCCATCTATCAACTATAGTTGTTCTCAGAAAGTGCATTTCAACATCCTTGTTTCACAATCATTTTCTCTGCCTTCTGCGTTTCTTTTGATAACTTTCGATTGCGCCTTTTCTGTGATAATTTTAACATGCCTTGGACAAGTTTCGAATAGATGATAAGCCTGTTATCAAGTTTACAGTAAGGGTCAGGTGCAACATCCCCTCTTAACCATTGCGAAATGGCCGCTGCGCTTTTATGTTGTTGTCCTCTCAGCTTTCCCCTGTTCTTTCTCGATGTTTGATCACGGATCGCGAGAATGATTTTTCCGTGGCTGCCCACTTTACGGCATGTGGTAGTCATTCTTTTTGAAATTGGCTAGCAAATCTAACTATTGTCAAGTTTTTGATTCGTTGCATTCTTTTTGTCATTCACTCTTCGCTAAATATGTAGTCGTGGCACAATTTTTTCATTCGTAGCCTGCTCTGCTGACATACATGTTTCGTCAGGGGTGAAGGTCAATATGTTCTTCTAGTTAAGCAGAGATCGCCTTTTGATGACTGCGTCTTGCTTTCGCTTCTTTCACATATAGTTGGGACCAATAGTTTTCAAAATTTATGGATCATTTTGATGTGATGCTCGCACTGGCTTTGGGAAACTTTTCGGGCATGTTAAGGAGTTTTTTCTTGCAAGTTCCAAATGGTATGCAATACGATAGTCTATGTTGAATTTTATTTTGAGTTCCCGACACTTCATATTCAGTAATTTTTGTCGATTTTTACTTATCAAAGGTTGCCGAAACCTATTTCGTATGCTGCAGTTAAATTAATGATCCGCTTGCCCCTAAAACCAATAAAAAGTTGACCGAAACAGTGAATTAGTGCATGTCAACTTCATAGTGGATAAATTGTGATGAGCGAGCACTTTGGCGCCTTGTTTCACAGTCATTATCCCTCCTCCTAAAATGGCCATATTCGTCACACGTAAGTCAAAATCTCTGCGAACATTTGGAGATTTATTTCTTTCTTTTGTGTACCATAGTGTCACCTGTGTAAAGGAATCTTTCTCCCGTTTTGCAGTAAGTCTTGAAGTTGTTTGTCTTTGTAACAGCCCCGTCTTTTAGGACGAAAGGACATAGATGAGACACAACAAAAGAAATCAGAATTAATGCGGCAGTTTGCTCGTCAACTCCAAGAACGAAATGAAATGGATCAAGCAGAAACAACGACAACAACAGCGACATCCACGCCGCCGTCGACAAAGCCGAGTAAGTCATAGCTCACTTTCAACGAAATCATGTTCGTGTTCACTTCTCAAGCATTCTCTTATAGACTCAGTCTCGCCTGAACCTCATGCGGAAGCGGCTTCTAGTTCAGTATCTGTCGTCGATGAACCAAAATCAGTAGAAGAAGAACCCACTCCAGAGGCCGCACAGGTTCCATTGAAGGAAGTCCCGGCAGAGGAACCACCGGCACCGGAAGTGAAGCCAACTGTAAGCGAACCAGCGCCTGACGAACATGCACCTGCCGTCGAAAGTGCAACAGAGCCAGTCGCTGAAGTTGCTGAACCGATTGCCGAACCGCCGAGACCCGTAACGCCTGTGGAAGAGGAGACCAAAGCCAAGGTACTGGGGTATATCTTGTGTATAGTAAAACATGTACTGCTATTACAGTCGCCAGTTGTAAAAGAGGAGGAGGAAGAAGAAGATTCTGCCCGTCCATCTGCTGCCGCAACACCCGAGGTGCCCAGCGAAGCTGAGGAAAGCAGTGTCAAGTCCGAAGCGTAAGTTTTTGTTACTAGTAGTGGAATGTTATATCGTATATCAGAAAAAAGTGCGAGAATCTTTTTTGTATTTATATCCTTCATATATTTAGTCACGCCATTATCCCTTCTCTCATTTTTCTGATCAAGTCCTTTTTTTGCTGCTTATGATATAACTTGATATTCTTTACGATACTCAATTTGCTAACAACTTTCTTTTGAAAATAATTTCGAAAAAAACGATCCTTGTCATCGGTCAGATAAAGTAAGGTTGATTGACGTAAGTTTGTTGGCGAATGTCTGCTCCAATAGTAATGTTTACATAGCTGCGTTAAGTCCAATGCGTAATTGGTGTACAGAGTGTACAGAACGTTTTTTGAAAAGCACTTTTGTATAAATGATCTCTAATAGAGTGTCCACGCAATTCTTTGCTGAGAATGTATTATAGTCGTCGCTCGATTATGGGAAGCTTCTGGTAAGTTCTCTTATAATTTCGATTGCGAATCTTTTCATCGTAAAAAGTATGACTTTTTTACATTCCGGGGTGCGCAATTTTTGTCTTGATTCTTGTAAGGACTATGGAAACTCACTGTGACAAGAAAAATGCAAAAGAATATCCAACCTTCTGTTTGTTGGATTGATGAATCGAATGAGTTGCAAATGACATAGATGTAGGTGCGTTGTGCCGATCCTGTTTTTGGATGTGTAGAAATTTTTGTTTGTATCAGCTTGAAGTACCACTTTGTTTATCGATCGTCTGGGTAGGTGTACCGATCACTAGAACGAACTTCGTACCGATTCGTGCCACCTTGTAGGACAGCGCGGACATCTTTCTTATTTGTAGGCGCCGTTTTGTCAAATGGGATGAAAGATGTCAGTCAGGGCTGCGCATGATTTTCGACTTGAGCGATTTCACTCACAAAAACCTATGAACTGTTGCATATTTTTCTTGGTACGCATCCCAGAATAATCGCGGATGGCTGGTTTCTCATAAAGTTCCTGGATATTATGCCGCTTAGCGTTGACCTTGACACTATGTAGGGTGGTGTCCCAAAAGCAAATGCTGCACGGGTTCGAAGGAATTTGCGTAGAAACGAGTTTTTCGTGGTCGGCGCTATTGATTAAACAGCGATCCGTCTCTAGTGTGTGTGTGTGTGTAGTGGATGACCGTTTGATGGACATTGCTAGTTAGGCGGAGAAGGTTTCCTCTCCGCGATAAGTTCTCGCTGCAGGATGTGGCTGCTGCGATATTTCCAGACGTTGGTGCATATATCGATCGATCTACTTGTTCTAATCCAGATTGCTGTACTAGTAAATGTGTGTTTTACAGCGCACCAGCGGAGACCGTCACCTCCACAACAACAGTCACCACGGATCACCCCTCAGTCGCCGATATCGAACCGGAAGAGTCTTCAGTGGATGCTACGGAAACCCCAGATGCACCCACTCCAGATACGGAAGAAGAGGAACGACGCAAAGCAGAGGTGACCAGTTGCTTTGGCGTCTATTTGCTTTTTCGGAATATATTTTGACACATTTTGACTCTAGGAGGAGGAAGAAAGGAGGCGACAACGTGAGGCAGAACTTGACGCTCAATTGCACGCCCTCGAAGCCAATCCTGCTGAAGTGGATAGGGAGAATTTGATATACGGAAGGGCATTCCTGTATTGTGTTAGGGATATCGAGAAAGTGAGATTGCTACTTCTATATCAAGCATGTTCTTGTACGGTTTCCGTTTCAGGAGTTCAAACGATGTCCTTGCCCACTTAGCCATGATGTGATAGTAAAATTGGGTATAGATTTAAATTCGATGCCTAAAGGAAGTGATAATAAGAAGCAGCACAACTTTATACCACCATGGATGAACCCGTCTCGACAGTCAAACAAACCATCGAATCGACCGGTAAGTAAGCATGTTTTTTCGGAGTGATTTTTCTAGATGGATGGATCTTATACCATATTGAAGTGCATAAAATGCTGTCTCCAAATCTGCTTCCTTATCTGCTGAACGTTTATGGACAAGGAGTTATAAGCGCGTATTGAAGTAAAAATTTAAGTTTCCACTAGGACAAAAATAGCCGTAAACTTTTAGCTCTTTAATGGAGCAGTGGTAATCGTCAAAGCATTTTATTCAAAAATACTCTAAAGTAAAAAGGACCTACCACATTCAATAGCATTATTTGAAGGCTAGTGAAGTTTTAGCATTTATTTTATCCAAAATGCACATTTGATTTTTTACTTCAATAAGCGCTCATAACTCCTCGTCCATGAATGTCTGCAGATAAGGAAGGCAGGTTTGATGTCAACGTTTCATGCCCTTCTATATGGTATACATCCATTCAAGAAGGCCATTTCGATTAAACAAGCTTCCCTTGTCAATAATTTGCAGATGCTTTCGAGCTTTTGTGTGAGCTCTATCTTAGTAATTTTGAGTAAGCTGCGCAAGCCGCATAAATCAATCAGTGAAATTGCACCGAACTTATTCTTGCAGTATGCTGGTCGTTATTCGCATAACGATCATCGCGGTGGCAAAGGCGGTGGAAACAAAAAATTTCCTCCATCGGCTAGGCCATCGATCGAACGAAACATCGAACGAGCCGTTCCTCTACATAAAGCTGAACATGCATGGAAAGCTGAGAAAATTCGTCCAGAAGATTTGGAAAAAGAAGAAGCGAGAGTTAAGGTGCGAACATTCGTCTGTTTGTTCTTTTCCGTTGTAATTATGTTTTTCTTTAAGCTTTTGCTCAAGAATGTTCGATCCTTGATGAACAAGATTACACCAACCACCAAGGACGAGTTGATAAAAGAATTCCTCGACTATAATGTGTCATCCAGTCCTGAACAGCTGACTTCGGTACTTATCATTATGTTGACTGACTGATAGCGCCTCCCGGAAACATTTTTTCGTTTTAGGTAATCAATATTATCTTCGACAAAGCCGTTGAAGAGCCAAAATTCTGTCCAATATATGCCGAAGTCTGTAAACAGCAGGTAATGAATGATATGGAACTTCCTTAAGATGTGCAATTTATCTGATATGAATGAGATTAACGAGTTAGTCGCATTAGTAGGGACGATATTGGTGCTTAGAATGATTGCGCAAGGCATGTGTAATGTGTGTGCTAAACACGTGAATAGACCAGCAAAACAACTGGCGCCAAGGAACCGTGTCGGCAGCGGGTTTACTGGAATGAGTCTGGAGGGGCGAAGCGCCTTGACAAACATAAAGTAGCTGCAGTTTGGATATATAGATAGATAGCAACAAGAACAAGTTGCCTACCGAGAGATCAGAAAGAACCTGAAACTTTTTTGGAGTGTTAGAGATGCCAGCTTTCTCTTTACATCTTAGTGTGAGACTTGCAAATGTTAGAACTAGTTCCCACTTCTTATGTCGCACTCCTCGGGAGTAGTCCCAATAAATGCTTCCTTACTTATGTTTGCTCCAAATGTCATTTTTCATGTGTAATTGAAGTTGTAGGTTGGGGGACAAATTCTTTATAAGAATGGGGAAGTTTTGCGGCAACAGACTGGACCTTGTTGTGACAAATCGAAGTTCGTCATATAGATTGACTAAAGAAATATTATCAGAAAACGGTAACTTTCCATCCTTCGCATTTTTCTTCAATGCAAATCCGCATCTGCTGCATTTTCTTTTTTCTTTAGCGGTGTCTTTTAGAGGTTATAAGAGCGACTATTTGTCAGCACTTTTCAGTTTGACGTCTGTCTCTGAATGAAATGTAATTTTTGCTGACGTCACTTAACGCAGATGGGGCGCGGTGCTGATGCTGATGTGTATCGTTTGCTGAAAGCAGACTAGTATTCTTTGAAGTGAATGTTTTGGGGGACCACAAAAAATAGTCTGTCGTAGCTTATTGATGACTTGAAAAGATATATAAAAGTTATGGTCAGTATATTGATTTTTTCGCGTTCAGGTTGACAAAGAACTGAAAGAGAATTCGAAGCTTTCCCTTTGTCGTAATGCTCTCCTTAATCGGGCCCAAGAAACTTTCGTCAACAAATCTTGGGAGGATGAACGCAACATAAAGGTAGGATTATATTTGTACTCCATTTTTGTGTCAGACTGCTAATTTCTCGCTTTTAGGTGAAGGAAATCGAAGCTGAAGAGGATCCGAAGAAGAAGCTGCAGATGGAGTTAGATCTTCAAGAAGCCGATAATAAGTTCCGGCGGAGAAAGTTTGGAAATATCACGTAAGATACAAGCAGTTTGATATATCAACATAGTCGAACAATGGCAGCTATTTAGCTTTATCGGACAATTGTATCGCCAGTCTTTGTTGTCTACTAAAATCGTGCAATGGTGCCTGTTTGATCTGATTAAGCATTCCCATCGAAATCCTGACACCGGAAAGCTCCCCGAGCCCCCTTATGATGAGGTATGATGAGAGCACCACTTCTATACGGTTATTATTCTATCGATTATTATTATTATTTGTTCCGTCTTCTGACATGCTTATGATCAGATTGAATGATAACCTTGACTTCATGCTGCATATGAGTAGTTCTCTGCATAGTTGACAGCCTTGTTTACTCTTCCAGTACTTCGCTTTTGAACTTCTTTTTCGCTTTTGTATCATATTCATTCTAGGAATCACTTCAATGTGCTATTCAACTGATTGAAAGCCTCGGGAAGCAATTAGATCTGTCTACTCCTGAGTTTAATGGCAAAGAATACTTGGATCAAACTTTGAAACATCTCGAATGTATATCTGGCATGTGTACAAACAAAATTAGGTAGACTTTTCTTCCATTTCCTTTTCTTTTGAACTGCATGTGAAAATTTTCTACCTTAACTTATTTCTTCAAAGGTTTATGATAATGAATGTGATCGAATTGCGACAAAACCGGTGGATCCCTCGAAAAGGAGTTGATCAGGGACCTAAGAAGATTGCTGAGATTCACAATGAAATCAAGCGTGAGCAAATGGAGAATCAAATGCAAAGGGATCAGGTAAGTATTCAGCCATATTCAGCCATTATCTTGTTATTTTATATCATTACTATATCGTTACTGAGATCATTTTTCCGTTTTCAGTATGATCGAAAGCTACGAACTGGCGGCAGCACGTCTCAACACGGCCGAAATCCGCCTGTTCAGCGAAGTTCGCTCGACAACAGGTTTGGACCCAAAGGTGGAGATCGCCGATCCATTGCAGCTTCAAAATCCAAGCAAGCCCCATCCAGCGTTCAGCCCAAGAACGTTAGTTTGTTATTGAAGGTAAGCTTAGCTACTATGGTTCGTGAAAAACAACTCCGTGCTCGTTTCCAGGGTGATAACTCATTAGGAGCAACCAGGAAAACATGGCACCAAGGAGCTGGCGGTGGTGGAACTATCACAACGGAAACCACGAAAGCTGGCTGGCAAAAAGGCGCCAGAGATGAAGCACAACGAAAGGTAAGTTGCAATATAGAAACTGAAAGTAACAGTCTAAAAATAAAAGGTTTTGAAGCATTCAGTTCCGGCATCACTATCGTTTGCAAACTTCGGTGGAAAAAAATATGAGAAAGTTGGCATTGGATTCTTGGAATCGATGGATTCTAGTCTTTTGTGTCTGCAGTGTTTTCTGAAACATCCATTTTAGAACTCCAGAGACGTTACCGACGAACGCGCTGCATCATTGGCAGCAGCAAAGACGATTTGTTCTGGAAAAGCCGAGTCTACGCCGGTAGGTCTCTTGGGTCATTCTTCCCCAATATTTTTTTCTTATTCTTTCTCCAAGTTTCTCTTTTCTTCAAACTGTTTTACACTAGCAGCCGTTCTGAGTGTTTTCTTTACTCTTTACACGGGTTCTTCAATCATAATCATTATGATATTTTCACGAAAAACCCATGCAGACCGAAATTTCTTTTCCGTACCGGAAAACTAATCCCTCAAGATACCTGCCTTCTTAGGAAACTGACTCGGAAGAGGTGAAAGCCGCTCTCGAAGAAAAGTACCAGAAAATTGGTAAAGAGGTCGGCGCGATTCTGGAGAGCTATGATGAAGGCGATCTGAAGATTGATGAAGTATGCATCAGTTCGATTTTACCCTTCATTTTACAGTTTCACGTTATTCTGAATTACAGTGCGTCCAAGAAATTTTCAAAATAGCTTCTTCCGAGAAGTTTGGATGCCCGAATATCAATGAAATTTTCTTCCGGTTTACGGAATATGCTGTCGAAAAGGTGCTCATTTTTTCTTCTTTTCTGTATTTCGGTCGTTATGCTTTTTTTGTAGGTTCGGAAACCTCAACTTCCCAAACTTGGAAACATGCTTTGTCTCGCATTGCAAGACGAAGAGAAAAAGCCTGAAGCCCTGGCAGGGTAAGTAACATCTAAGTCGTTTTGCATTCCCTACGCTGAAAGAATATCCATATAGAATGTCGCGATACTGCACATTGGCTGTCGAGGCTGAAATGTGGATGGATATCCCCGACATATGGAGTAAATTAGCTGAGGTGCGTTAATCGTTGTATATGGCTGGTACAATCAGTAAAATCAGTTCCTTTCTAGTTACTAGTGAATGCCGTATATTGTGATTCGAATCTGATATCCGGCTCTCGACCATCGTTCAAAGATTTCACGAATGTGTTCTTGGAAGCATCAAAAGATGACCGAAAGGACAAGTCGTTTGAGTTACTTGTTGTATCACTGAAGAGAATGGTTAGTTTATATTTCCTATTATCGAGTTCGTTGTTGACTTTGAAAGATTATCTTTTTTGTTTTGTTCTGTTTTCTTGTTCATTACACTTCAACTTCGGTCTGATGCCTATGCATTTAAAAAGTTTGCCAAAATCAATCCATTAGTTTGCTGTAATTCTTTGGACTTAGGCTGTTTCATTCAATCCGTTGGTGATAGATACTTTCTCGAGGTTCAGTAGAATTGAAACAGTATAGAGTCTAAATTCGACGCTTCAAATTTTTTACTTATTCTTATCATTATCTCAATGGATGCAAAGCTTCCCTTTCTTTTTTTCTTTTTACAATTGTTTTCGAATACATATTGGAGGTAGTTCTCGAAATAAAAAAATTAACTTTGTTTGAAGCCATCATCATAAATTTCGTGCTATTCATTTCTGTGCTCTAATGAATTGTTCCGTCGTTTCCTTCTATCTCAATATGGTCGCAATATGTATTAAACTTTTTGCAACATGTAAAATTTCGGTCGCCTATTTTGAAAAAAAAATGGAATGTTTGACGAATTTAGGCGGAGATGAGTGCGAAACTGGATGCGAGCGATCATGCAACAATGTCATCGTTTGTCTATCAAGAAGAGGTGTTGCCATTCCTCCAAAATATTGACCAAGAGAAGCTGGATAACGCACTGCGGGCGTGCCGACCTGAAGTGCCAGGTTTTGAAGATCTATATGCGGTATTGCATCATCATTAATAAGTATGTTCCTGTGTGTATGTGACTCAATGTTTTTCTCTTTGGTAGTATGAAGCGAAACGCGCCTTTCTACTCAATTTCAATGCTGGTTCTACTTGTGCACATTGCACAAGTCCCTTCGCTCATTTGTTTCATTTTTGTCTTCATTTTTGATATGAATGCCCGTTTTACTATGGCTCATATCATAATATCGCTATCATCCTGCATATAGCAAATATACTTAGCATCTATCCAAATAACTCAACAACGGTGTTCTTCTATTCGAATGTTTGCCAAATTCCTATGATTTTTCTTTTGTCCCCGTTCTCCAAGACTGTGTTCGCCATGCGGCAGGTGTTTTGCTAGTCAGAGGCGCTTCATAGACCGTCGGTTTTTCCTTCTTTACAAAGCTTTCTCAAAGAAATTGCTCCCCAGATGTGTTTCACTTCACTTCTTTATCGCGTTCTTCCTAATACGATTATAATACACGCACATACATCTGAAGCTACTACACGGCTTATCTCCAATTGCTCTTGCATTGCCGCTGCTGCTGCTCCGGGGTATTCTATCTATATATTTGAGACGCGCTAACTTCTACTTCTTCTTCATCATCAAATACAAGTCCTTACACATCTATTGTTGATGCGTTTCCGCTTCATCTAGAGTTATCTAGAGTTCTATACGACATTTTTAATTATTATGAGTGTATTACCGCGATGGTTTTTCATCATTTTTGTTTGTTGTTCGGTGTTTTTATTGATATTGTATTTTTTGCGTGTGTGCTGCTTTCTGCTGCTTTTGTACTGCGCCCGCTCATCCCGCCCACTCCCGTTCCAAGCAGTCCGGTTACTTAGTGATCGACTTTTAGCCATAGCTTGGCTGACTTCGATCACTGCAGGGTAGTCACTGTAGTGTACACGACTTATCATCATACTTGCTGCAACCGAATTATGTCCATAATTCGCCAGAAGCTCTGTTCTTGTTGACTAGGTATGCAATTGTTTCGAATATTCTTATTCATATATACTGTAGCTCTTACCTATTTGAGTGTGGTAATTTTCGATGGGTCCTTTCGTCTCCTTTCTTTTGATATTACTTTTGTCTTCTTTCGTCATCATTCGTTTTGATGATTGATAATTTAATTAATTGATGAGCGATCACACACATTGTTTGTTTCAGTGATCATGTAATAATCTTTCTTAGAGATGCCTCGTGACGTTGACGGGTTGACGGCATCCGTCAACGTCCCTGCCTTAATATCCTATTCTCTCACTGACATCGACATACCATCATGTAGCTGTGCAAATGGCGGCTGCATGGCAAAAAGTTTTGCGAAAAAACAAAATGTGAATCTTATCCATTCGTGCTCATCCGCTCCATGGTTGTCGTGTCAGTCATTGTTGAAGGGAAACAGACGTTTAACACAAATCCCATGCGTTTTCTTATTTACTAACCATTGTTTTTCTATTCGTTAGCCTAGAGAAAATATAAAAATTCGGCACAATATGTTTGTTGTTTGCATTGTTGATCTTTTAACGTTTATACATAGAGCAGAAATGCTCTTTATACCGACACTATCAATAGTTGATTCATATTTCCTAGTCTGCACTCCTCTGGTAATTTGTTCACAAGCAAATATCGTTGAATGTCGGCACAGCGGGGTACTATATCTATTATCACATATCTACTAAAATATACAATTATCCATGCAGCGGGAGTGGCATACTGTCATCAAAATTGCCATGTCCACTAGTGCGCAGATTTCTTGAAAACGTAAAATTATGCTCGATTTTTGCAAGTCTATCCATGATCTGGACTACTGCCTACGTTCGGTCTTATGCCCCCCCCCCCTCCGCATGCTTTCATGGTGTCTGACAGTATCAAAACTGTCAGACACCATGAAAGGGGGCGAACCCCTTGAATCGGAATCCAATGTAAACATCGGACCCATACAGATGTTTCAACATCAAATTTTAGTTCGGCTAGCTTGAAAAGCTTGAAACTCGTGCTCTTCCTACTTATTGCAGAAATACTTTCTTACCGACTTTGGGTAGACTGAATCACACAGCTTCTATTAGAGGGACGTCTTGTCGGACCATGCCCAAATGCGACTCAATACGCCTCCCCTAGGTCGAAAAATCTGTACTCAGACAACCCGCAAAGGGCGATTTAGCTCGGGCTGGACAAGCTGCGGGCGGGTTTCTACCTTCCACTGTGCGCGACTTTGAACCAAAATAGGGTTATATAGGGCAAGAAGTTTTCCCTGCCACTCTTGACTCAAAGTTTGGTGAGACGCTTCCTTCAAGGCCCTGTTCATCTGATTACGTCCTTTGTATGGTAATTGAAAACTGTCCCAAGGTTGGCAGGCATATTTTGGTAGGCCTTCTTGAAGTACTGGTTATCGCCAATACCAGAGCGTATGGAGAATGATCCAGTTGTACGTGCTCAAGTCCACTTTCGGCGATAATCGGTCTTATACCCAACCCAAACAAGTGTTTACTTTCGCATGAACCCAAAGCATTGTCGCTGATTTGTGGTTAGCACAAACGAACAGATAAGCATAAAAGTAAACACCTCAAACATTCGCATTCGTGTAGAAATGAAGTTACCAGCTGCATTTATTTTTGTTTGATGTCCTTCCGTTATTTCTAGTTTCCACGAAACGGAATCAGAATAAGCGGTGTCATCATGGTTTTGAGAATTTTTATGTAAACAAGCCAAATATTGTTTCAACAAAAATAAACAAATAGTATGGAACAAAGACTAGAATTTCTGACTGTCTACATTTAGATGACTGACTATAAGTGCCTTTCGTGCCGACAACATTTTATGAAAAAAAAAACAATGGGCGCATAACATGAAGTTGTACGCGTTATGACATTTCCTCGCCTAAATTGTCAGCACCGCAGCGGCCTATATCAGCGTCATGCAGTGGCGTAGCGAGTTCCTCCCCCCCCCCCCGTGAATGGGTCGCGAAATTTTTGAAAGTTACCTATATGAGTTATAAAAATGTGCAAGCGACTTGTTTATACTTGTCAGTACTTGATATAATTTCAAAAAATGTTTGAAAATCCAATCTAGCCTCACAAAAAATTTTTTCCACTCTTTCTGAGATTCTGGGGTTGTAGGTCCGCAAAATTTCGGGAAGCATACCAAAAAGTTTTTCGAAAAAAAACCATCAATCATCAGAAAAAAATTTGTTGCTCCCCTCCCACGAACAGAAATCTTACGCCATTGACGTCATGATATACTTTTTTTTGCATAGGCTAGACATGAATGCCCCTAAAACTATCCTTATCGAGCATAAGCAGGAGTCACGCAGAAATTTATGTCCTTATCACATCTAAATAATAAAGAAATTTCGGCTATCTTACTATCCGTGTTCCGAAATTTGGAAACCGTAAATTTGCTCAAATCTGATTGGGAGGGTCACTTGACATAGCTGGTCACGGACTTTACACTCTTTCTAGGTTAGTGCTTAATGGAGTTACGGTAGGTATACGGTAGGAAGTCAAACTCCCAGTTTGTCCGTTTCCGGTGTTACGGTAGGCACACGGCAGAGGATTGAAGGAGATTCGCCTAGAACTCTTTATCTAAATGGGAAGGAGGTAGGTGTTAACGGAAGTTTGATCACAAATGCGCGGGTATTAGGGGTATTAGCTTGAAAGGAGAAAAATGTTACTTATACATTGTAACATACCTAATTTCAGAATAAGGCGTTACTGCTACGAGAAGCATGATCGTCATCAGCATGCTGGATAAATCTCTTGCAAATGAATTCCAGCCAAGTCTCTACCATGGAACTTCTACAGTAATCCCACCGTAACCCGAGAAAACGGCTAGCGTGCAAAATCAAAATGATATTTATGCTCAGCGTGCCAAATAACCCCTCTGGACCAAGTACTAGGCAAATCCGTGATTTTGACCCCCCCCCCCCCACCCCCCGTTCCTAACAACTCCATCACATAGGGGTACTACACAGAACAAGTGCGCTATTTGTGTTCAGCATACCACATGACCCCAACAAAGCAGATCTCAACCAATTTTTTGATTTTGACCCCATGGTATACCCACCGTAATCGCACAAAACATTTAGTGCGAAGTGTATTTGTGACAGCATGTCACACAGCAAAGCCATGACTATCAATTTTGGGGTCCGAATAGCGGAATGTTAGAGAAATTTCACGTCGACATTTCGAGATTTCAACGAAATTTGAACTGATGAACCGAAATTTTGCGGAACGTTCCGGAAGAAGCGCGAATTGCACAGCTGCCGTAGTTATGTTTTTCCCCTATAGCTTGGTGCGCTCTTTGCTAAAGTGCGTCTATTGATTCTTCTTGTGTCAGCCTCTACTATCGCCGCAGACATTCTTCAAACAGTTTGCACCATTTGATTAGATAATGTGTTCGCGAAAAAAAAAAGCTGTCAGTGACAAATTGCTTGTTATCACTTTATGTTCCTGTCTCTAATCCCCTTGATGCACTTCCGCTTTGTATCCTGCTTGAAATTTGATAAGATTCTTTCGAATATAGCCTCTATCAAACTTAGTTTCAACAAAATAACGATAATATTGTTGATCATCAGTTATCATACCATAACACTTTGGCATGTTTGATTCATGATTATTTTTTTTCAAAAGCGCTTGTGGGAGTTAATCTACATGCCGATCGCGAAATATAACCAACCCTCACAATAAGACATTTCTCGGGGATTACGGTGGGTATGCGGTAAGAAATCAAGAACTTTTGGCTTAAATACTGTTCCACTGGGGTTCATTGATGTGCTCTCAAAAATGCTCAATTGCAGTGAGGCTACAAAGGACTTTATGACTTTATTTTCCTTTGACCCGGTGATGGGGAGGGGAGGGGGGGGGGAGGGGGGAAGGGAGGGAGCATTATCTTATATGTAGTTGATATAAGCGGATGAACCCTTCTAGACAACAGAGATTTGGGTTTGATTCCTTACGTGGAGCTATCGTAATCTCACAAAGCTTCACTATGCGAAATATTCTTCTACTAGTATTTTTATGATTATATTTTCGAGAAGAGCATATCGCGCTACTCCCCCTTCCCCCACCCTCTCCCTGCCCTTCCCTTACCCTCCCCTGACCATTTTTGCGCACTGATATTTCTGAATAGCCGGCCATTTGAAGTCTGTACTGATTTTATCTGCCCAAAGGTGGCGCAACATTTTTGAGTTGCTCTTATGAAAAAAGTGTCAGGGTACAGAAGTTCTCTTAATGGGCGAGCATACTTCACGCGAATTAGGTCGCGAGGCGATCTGGCAATATTCCAACTGTCCATAACTCACTGCAAGCACATTTTGAATGTACAGGAGATAGGGTATTTTATCAGTCTGTGTAAATTTTACACACTGTGCATGTGCAGGTTGCTAGTGCTGGATCCGAAGACTTCTGGCAAACTGCCAAATCGCGTCGCGACTGAAATTGCGTGAAGTATGCCCGGCCCTTTAGCAGAGGTTGAAAATACCTTGCTCTTAAATAAAAAAGAAAACTTTCAAATCTTAACAGTAGATCTCTTCTCCCGTGCGTCACTCTAGGTTTCACCAGAAAATCGCAGAGGATACTTGTTTACGTTATCAGTCCATCATCCACGATGATTGATGTTTATTTTGAAATGGCTTCGTATCATATTTTCACAGGAAATCAGTAAAACTGGATCACTTAGAAAGACCTTCATATGTTTTTTTTACGATTCTAGCATCGCAAGGTTATAAAGAATCATGGCTCGCGCACAGAGCGTCATCTTACTCGCTTCTCACATTTTCAGAGCAGCTAGCACTCATTTTTTTCAATTTATTATTTTTAATGTCTACTTTTACACTAATCTGAGCACAACCCATAAATATCGATAGGTCTAGACATGAAAAAAACAAATCTTTACTGGCCTCAGTTGAGCCGATTTTTTTGGCAATTTGATATCATATCGCAGTGTTTCCGAGTGCAGTGGGACTAACGATGTGTCACAGTTATTTAGATTCGATATAGCTGCATAAATGGAAAACAGACAAAACAAAAATGAAAATAGTCTGCCAGGACTACATCTCGTTGTTTTCTTTCCTGGATGAACTCTATCAAAGTTTCTTTGGAAAGTGCATTGCTGAACTGTAGATTGCTAGGCCTTACACTTGTGACTGGGAACGGAAGATGTATCTCAAAATTTATAAGGTTTTGTCGAATTCTGATCTTAGTCTTCTCTACCCTTGTCATCAAAAATATTTCGGATCTTGACACAGCGTCTCCGAGGTACTCGTTTGACGGAAGAACGGTGTGTAATAAACGTCATAAAAAGATGTCATGCCCTCTTTCTCTAAAGAACAGTTCGTTTTCCATCCACTCCGTCCTTTCACCAAGTCGCAATGAACTCTCTAACTCGCTGTAATAACTTCGTCTGCCTAAAATCATATAAACTTGTTCAAGACCGTCGTCAAGCCGAAAATTGATTATTTTATACATCATTCAACCTGAATTTGTTAAATTAGGGCTTGAGTTGGTCTTTGTTCAGTCTCCTTTTCATATATCCTTTGCAATTACGCAAATCTTTTCCGGTGTCATCAGATTATTTACGAAGTAAGATTAGTGAATCTTTAAGCTGGAACTACTTTTTTCATCACATTCTGTGCTTTGTAATTTTGACATATAATCTTCGCAGAAAAATGGTGAATTAACTTTGCTCTTCGGCTTCACCTTTTCCAGAGCAAATCTCTAACAAAATCTTTGTATGTATAGCGTGAAGAAGTTGTTAAATGATTAATCACTTTCAAAAGTGCATCATTTTTGACTTTGCAGTGCTTAAATGAATTTTTGTGATTATATTTGCACAACTATGGATGTTCAAACGCTGAAGGACTATAATGTGTGGTTTTGTACATAGTCGAATAAAAGCTTTCATATCCCTGATGCCGTTCTCTTATCTTCTCATTTTGCATAAAGTATGGCTTAATCACAAGGTAAGCTGTGGTAAAATTCTTTTTCTGATAGCGGATCAGCTGTAAGATTTTAAAGTTTCCTCTGACGAAAAGAAACTTATGTGAAAAAGCTGTCTGCGTATAAGAAGGAAGAAAACGGATTGTATAGGAGGAGGGGGGGGGGGAAGGGATAATGTTGATTCAGCAGTCGAGATAATTCTAAAAGCTCCATTAAACGCAAGAAAAAGATTCAAAATTTCATTTTCATCTTCGACTATTGGCAACTAATGAATTTAATTTTGAGTGCATTTTAGTTTTTTGAAAGTGCTCTTAATGATAGTTTATTGTCCATCCTACAATGCTTCCTACTCTACTCATCTAGTGGGATGCACGAAGAAATAATCCATGATTTCTCACTCACAAATGCCCATACTTCGGTTACAAATCTATCGAAGTTTAGGATATCAAACATCGAGTGGTGTCAGGGATCGGTCAGAGTTTGCCAATGTTGCTTGTGTTGAAAGTGTTGCCGGTGTTGAAAGTGTTGAAAGCGTTGCCGGTGTTGAAAGTGTTGAAAGCGTTGCCGGTGTTGAAAGTGTTGGATGTGGAAATCATCAGTCTTGCAGTTTCATTCCTCCTCGAGCGATCTCACTGGCTGGTGAGTATACGTCTGGAATAGGTATTGGAAAATGAGAAATGATACTGAAATGAAATAGGAAGTGCTTTCGCAAAAGCTCCTCATACGAACTTTTTGGAAAGTGAAGGACTGGTTTGAAAGAGGCAATCTCCAACATTTGGGAAGGCTGCAAAACCTCCCATTGGGTCCTTTGCTCACTATTCGCAGAAGCGCCGGATTCGACGCCCAACACGCATTCTCATCAGACTTTAGCAGCCATCTCAAATGTCGGAGATTGCCTATGCAAAACAAGTCCTCTTCTTTCCATAATTTTGTAGAGGATCTTTTGCATGCGAAAGCTTTTCCAATTCTTGTACTTTCATTTCTTATTTCCCATTTCTATTTCAAAAGTACTCACCAGCCGGTGAGATCGCTCGAGGAGGAATGAAACTGCAAGACTGATGATTTGCACATCCAACACTTTCAACACCGTCAACGCTTTCAACACTTTCAACACCGGCAACGCTTTCAACACTTTCAACATCGGCAACACTTCCAACACTTTCAACACTGGCAACGCTTTCAACACTTTCAACACTGGCAACACTTTTAACACAAGCAACACTGGCAAACTCTGACCGATCTCTCACAGTTGAGTACATAATTTTACAATTTAAGATCATGTAGAGGACAGCAAAGGATTATGCCCTCGCATTAATCCTGTTTCCTCGTACATATAAAACTGAACCCTGCCCCACCCCCTATCAATTATCACATCGATTATTTTCATGATCTTTCTTGTGGCTGACATGACGGCCACATTCCACGTGTAATAAATGCATTATTCAGCATCCGTTTCTTCGCTTCCAGAAATTCAGTTTTACAGAGTGTTTCTCATTTTTAGTGCTATGTACGTCCACTCTGGTTGTATTGTACTATATGAAGCTGAAAATTTCAGAAAATGGTATTCAAAGTTGGGATAATGGGTGGATCCGGTTTGGAGGATCCACAAATATTGCAAAATGCAAAAGAAGTCGAGGTTGACACTCCGTTCGGGAAACCAAGCGATAAGTATATCGAAGGTAAACCTTTTTCAGGATTTTGTTTCTCTGAGTTTATGTTTTGATTGGAAAGAATATACAGTTATGTCCTCACACAATATTTATCCTGTTATAAATTTATTTGAATTTGTAATGAAGTCATACCAGATTTCTTTCAAACGAAAAATCAGTGACCAGTAACAACACTATCTATTACGAATACTCTTGGATAATTTTTAGTCGCGTAATTTTATCTACGAGAAAAAACCGTCACTACATCTCCTTCTTTCACAAACTGCCAAATAGCAACATTGAAGAAGTTTTTTGAGCATTTGAAACAGTTCACGCTTATCTTTTGTTTGCAAAATGTGAATTTTTCGGCGCATTCCAGAACAATTTCAGCGCACACAAATATTTTTCAATGAAAATTGCCTTTCGTTTCATGAACCAGAGTTCGCCCTTTTCTGTCTGCGTTCTGCATTCAATCTGAACGAGCCAAAAGCCATAAAATGTTATCATGACCAAATGAACAGCTGTTGCATTATAGTTTACAGTAAAAAGCGATGTAGAAACAATTTTTCATTGCATAACAAAGGCCTTTAAATATTACAGAAATTCTTACTTAATGATCCGGACATTTTATAGATGTTCGCTAGCAAAAATATCAGTCAGAAGCTTGGATTTTTACTTTGAATTACCAGGTCTCCAAAGAACTGCATGAATTTAGCATGCTATGCATGACTCAAGAAGTTTTGAATAGCCCTTCCAAAAAATGACCAAAATGAACAAGTCCACTTTGTGCACAAAGGGGCCGAAGACATAGAATTCGGGTCAGCACTGCTGCGAAATGCCAAACCTAAAAAAATATTCAGGAACTCGCAAAATACAAAAACCCTATTTTCTTGCGGGTTTACGGGGAGTACAGTTTGATTTTAAATAAATCTTAGCTTCAACAAAAAGCGGACTTATTTGCACATTCGGCATACTGTAAGCTTTGGGCAAAAAATTGGTTCGGTGGGATTTGAATGAAACTCTGCATACGACAAAATATGACACTCGTGTCAAAAACCGTTCACAAACTCGGAACGTTTTCGGTCAATGACTAAAAATCGGAGATATGAAACGGTACCCTTAAATCTTATACATCGATCCTTTTCTCTGATTCTGTCCTATCCTGTTTTGCCTATCATCAGTGAGGCGCAAGAACGCTCCTAAAGTTTGTAGAGGAGAAAATGCAGTATGAACGGAACCGTCAGTGATAACGAAGTGCCAAATTTGGTTTCATTTTGATCCCAACGAACCTTGAATTTTTTTTCGGAAAACTTACACTAAGTTGTTGTGATGTGCAAAAAAAATTCTAAGCAAGGGGGGGGGGGAGGAGTCGCCGGCTGATGACATCTTTAGACGAGCAAAGTCTTGCTTTCAGCATATGTTCATTGTATACAGCGATAAAGAACAAAATGCGTCATGGTCGCTATCGTATTCTTTTTTCAGGAACCATTCATGGCATTCCCTGTATTCTTCTGGCTCGCCATGGCCGTAAACATGATATCATGCCATCAGATGTCAACTATAGAGCAAATTTATGGGGCATGATGTCTTTAGGTAAAACTTTTCACAGCGGTGTCATAATAATTATGAAAAAAAAACAATTGCAGGTGCCAATGTGATTATAGCATCAATTGCATGCGGATCATTGCAACAAGATGTGAAACCAGGCGAACTTGTATTTCCCGATTCTGTAGTAGATAAGTATGTAAGAATCCATTCACCGTTAGCAATGGCGGTCCTACAAACTTTTTCTTGGGGAAGGCGGGGAGGGAGGGGGGGGGGGGGGACGACGAAAAGTTATTTCGGATGAGGGGCGTGGCATGCCACGTACTCTAAAAATTTTTCGGATGTTTTCCATTATTTTTGCGACCCAAAACCCCGAGACACCCCTTCAAAAGATGTCACATGGCTAGAATTCTTGAATCCTGAAAATTCACTGATTACATACAAGTGATGATGAGTTACTTGCGCAATGAAACTTATGTGGACGTTCAAGAATTTCCCAATCCCCCCCCCCCCCTCCCCTCGGTCCGCCATATTTTGGTCTGAGAATACTATTTTGGACCGTCCAATCATTTTCAGGACCAATGGACGCAAATGCACATATTTTGATGGAACGTGCCCACAAGTTCCAGGCGTATGTCACATTCAAATGCATCCAGCATACAACGAAAAGCTGAGAAAGGTAAAACTCCTGCTATCTCAGCAGTTTTTTCGATGCTGTATTTTCTTTCATATTTGAATCTTTGGGTATACTGAGCTCAAAGATAGTTTTAAAGCTCGTCAAAATATTCACTTTGTTCTTGTATTAAAGTGCTGTGTGGATGTGACGTTTGTCGGCAGTCAACCAATCACCGCTTGGTGGGAGGTGATTGGCGGATTGCGCTCCCGCCATACCCATTCATACTTTCTACAAAGGAAGTAGACTAAAGTTTTGACTTGACATGCCCGAAGGATCAAGGTCAAAGTATCGTTCGTTCGTTGACCGTACGGACTGCCGACCACGTGGCGACTGCGACGCGTGCCTTCTAAACTTGCGAAAAAGTGACAAGTTGGACCGTGGCTTAAGATGAGAAGAATTCTTTGTTTCTTTTCTACATTATAAAGATGAGAAGAATCTTCTGTTTTCTTTCTATTCATCTTTTCTACGAAAACATCATGCACGCGCAGCGATCGCCGCGCTGTCAGCAGTCGTTACGGTCAACGAATAAACGATACCAAGGTAGATTTACAAGCACACGCTTACAGATTCTTGTAACGACCGCCGACGATCTCAAACTGAAATATCACGACGGTGGTTTCGGAATCTGCATCAATGGACCTCGATATTCGACTAGGGCTGAAAGCCGAATATTCCAATCCTGGGGCGCCAGCCTCATCAATATGACGATGATACCAGAGGTAAGTAGCACTCAAAGGGAGTCACAAATTTGGCGGCGAATGTTCTGCGTGGCTTATCACATGTTACGGTGATCTGTGCTCGTATAGTTTGTGTCCCGATATTCCTCCTTGACACCACCGCAACGCAGCAGAATTGCTGCCTTTGAGGCGTTGGCACAGAAGTACCTATGCAAAGGAGCGATTGGCACGCGAAGCGTGATATGGCACCCACACTTGATCCGCTTCGTACACTTCGCTCTTGATGGAATCAGTGAACTGACCAGTAGCGAAGCGGATAAAGTGAATCAAGTGGACATCCGCTTCTACACTGGCCAGTTTACTTCCATTAAAACGAAGTGGATGAGGTGAATCAAGCGGATCAAATGTCAGGTGTAGCGCGTGCTTATGAGAAGAACTTGGGACACAGCCTATATGGTTCGGACAAAGGCTAACCCCTTATCAGTTTCCGCAGCCCCTCTCTTAAACCAACATTGGACTCATTTTTATATATGAAGACATCCTTGAAGAGAAATTAGGTAGTCTTGGCTATAACTAAAAGCTAATTGCTCAACAACGACTTACCCCATCCTAAGACTGATTCAGTATGTTTGCTGTTTTCAGTGCTGTCTTGCAAGAGAATTGGGCATCCCTTATGCTACCACTGCACTAGTTACCGATTATGATTGCTGGAAGGATGATGAGCAAGTACGTGAACACGGTTCACACCAAAATGAACTCAATTCAAAACTTAATCTCGTTCTCCCAATTTAGCCGGCTAGGTTTTCGAATTAATCTTTCAGGTGTCGATGGAACTTGTCATGAAGACATTCAAGGACAACTGTTTCAAATGCAAAAATTTGTTTATCGAGGCAGTGCAGCGAATAGCCAAAGAGGACTGGCAGACAGAGATTGCAACAGTCAAGGTAAGTCACAGAAAAACAAATCAAAAGTGATTGTCATTTTACATTTCAGAAAGCTGCTCGAGATGCAGTCATGGTTGGACCAGAGGTCGTCATTCCTCATCTTACCGTTTGAGAAAATTACTAATGGGTCAAATACACATTCCTGTTTTGTTTCTAGATATCTAATAAACGTATTATTTGAACAGTCATAAGCCAATGACAAAGAAACATGTTGACTTGAAAATTCTAATTACTTTGATCAAAGGGCCGACCGAGGGCGAATCTGGCAGGATTTAATATAGAAACGAAAAATTTGCTTTCAAAGGAAAAAAGAATAATTTATACCTGTACAAATTATGAACAATCACCGACTTTAAATGTAAGATGAGTGACCGCATACAACTTGATCCACTCGGCTAGCAAAGAGGTCACTGGTGATTTGCGTAGATGTATCCATTAACGGGTTCTTCATCACAGTTTCAACATAGATCTAAACATGAATTGCAGAGCTGAAGTACAGTCTGCCGGTAAATGAGTTAAAAGTATGTCTTCGCGGTATTCTTTTCATGTTACCGATGTATACGTCGCGAAGTGTTGACATAAAAACCTACAGTCAGTTTATTCCTGCAAAATTTTTAGAAAAACTTTCCAACTAATTTAAAGTTTGTGAACATCTAGAGGAACGACTGATGTAACATTTACCATCAGATTAAAATGCGCGGAACACCAAGAGGTACTAGGTCAGAATCTAAGAACGGAAAAGGCAAAAAAGAGACATTCACAAACTTCCAAGATGACATTTACCAATTCGCAAAAAGCAAATTTATAGAAAACAGCTAATATAAGCCATCCAGAACAAACCACACAGAAAGCTAATAGATCAAGCGTTGAAAGACTGACCTTATATATATCCCTTATAAGCTCTGGTATCCCGACGGCTGACGGATCAGTGTTCATGACCATTTTCAAACCTGTAGGTGTTTCCATGTAGTTCATCCGATATGATGACGTTTTGAAATAGCGCACTAGCTGTTGCCTGAAAAAAAAGGCCTATAAAGAAGTTGAGAAATAGTCAAGACATCGAGAACCTCAATACTGCATTCCAAACAATCAAAACGCGCTTGAACAGGGAAACCGGCGCCGTTATTTCAAACAAGAAAATTGAAATCAAAAAGTTTGCTGAAGCTTTCGAGGGTTATTTGACCTGCTGGTTGCGCTAAAGATAGTTATTCCACAAAATAAGGCTTCGTAGGATTAGGTCAGCATCCCGAGTTGCCCCTAGAGTGCATGAATAAATAGCTAGCCTGTTACGCTGACCAACTGCGCCAAAATGCCGGCATTATTGCGTGGCTATTTGTTCACACGCAAATTTTACAGCATTTTACATACCCTGCGAGCACAGTACATTGAGGAAAAATAATCCACTGTATGCATAAAGGAGTTGTCAGAATGTGCAAACTACACTTAGCTCTGAAACGAGAGACTCATTGCAAAGTTGCGCATCCTGTTAACTTGACATTACGTAAAGTACGGGTAAATATCGAGACCCCCAAAATGAGTCTATCAAGTGAAATTATCATTTTGTGTGCACCGTGCCAGATAACCCCGTGTGCAATATATTAGCGGGATGGATAGCTTAATCTCGTAGAGGTTGATTAGTGCCAAAAATCGTTATACATGACTAGTGGACCAGTAATCTAAAGGTGCTATTTGGAGGAGCGTTCGCTTCCGGACCGCCACGCGGTTTCCCGCTACTTGCACATTTTTGAATTGCGCTTACGATTCTTTATATATTAGAATATATACTAGTGAACCAGCAATCTAATGGTGCTATTGACAAGAGCGTTCGCTTCGAGACGGCGCCGCAGTTTCCCGCTATGTGCACATTTTTGAATTGCGCTTACGATTCTTTATATATTAGATAGAAGATAGATAGATAGATAGATATACTAGTGAACCAGCAATTGAAGGTGCTAGTAGCATGCGCGCGCTACGGGACCGCCACGTGGTTTCCCGCTATGTGCACATTTTTGAATTGCGCTTACGATTCTTTATATATTAGACTAGTGAACCAGCAACTGAAGGTGCTAGTAGCATGCGCGCGCTACGGGAGCGCCACGTGGTTTCCCGCTATGTGCACATTTTTGAATTGCGCTTACGATTCTTTATATATTTTATATATTATATTATATTATTATATTATAGATATAGATAGATAGATTAGATATCGTCGGCTCCAGTGATCTACTCCCTGAGATATAACGGGCTGATTTTTGCACCAAAGCAGGCGACACAATTTTTACAGCTCCAGTAGTGAAGAGTGGAAGTAGGTCATTGTTCTATCGAATATATCAGCGTCGCATTGGTCTGCTCGCTACAGTCGAGTAGATCTTTTGCTTAATATAGTGTGCTTGCACAGAAGGTGAAATGCGGTAAAATTTGCTCGTGAGGAAACAGCTTCGACTGTGACGCCGGCCATTTGCGCGCGCAAAATGCTGGCAGTGCTGGCGCAGCTATCTGTTTACGCGCAGATTTCACCGCATTTCATAAACTGTGCAAGCACATTATATTAAGCGAAAAATCTACTCGACTGTATATTCGTGGGAGTCGACCATATCAAATGACCGCGCCATAAGAATTGCTCTTATTACAAGACCTCAGCATTGCATGCATTACAAAATAACAACAAAAAGCGTGAAATTCTCCTCTCGTGCTTAAAACTTACCCATCTTTACTGGAAAGCCGTTCAGCAAAGGACCGAAGCGATACAAGCATGCCATTCATCAACTTGAACTCCTGAAAAAAGCTGACAGTTTCGTCATTTGGTTAGAACTTCAAAACATGACAGAAGCATGTTTGCGACTAAGATATAGATCTAACAAATTATTGAATTTGTTCCAATAAAAACCAACCTCCGATTTCGGCATTCCCAAGTGCTTATCCCTTCTCCATTCCTTATAAAAGATGCATACTCCATCACGATTGAATAAGTAGAAATTGAATATAGTCATACACTCGAGATAGACAGAAATGGGATGGAACTTCTATCAGTATGACAGGATCAAAGACAGAAGTCGGATGGGTGCCAAATTTGACGTAGCCGTCAGAAAAACAAAAAGCGCGCTTCGTCCGAATTTTCACGCAGACTCACTTTGACGTCTAAAATTATTAGCTGCCAGGGTCAAGCTCGTGATGCGACTGTTGCAACGGAGGTCGTAAAGAGAGCACCTAAAATGGGGGAGGGGTCGTAAGAGATGGTAGTTAAGCTAAAATACCCTAAGCTTGAAAGGAAATCAAAAAGCGGGTAGTGAGTACATGTTCTTTACAAGAAATTTATAAAAAAGTTAGAAATGTGAATAGTAAACATACAAACAGTAGATGTGCCAGTATATCTGGCAGCTACGATGTGAGCACACAACCGTTCCTTACAACGTTTTATTGTGGACTGGCAAGGCTGTCGCCCCGCTAATCCCCGGCCCCCCGAACCCGCCCGCTTTTATGGCGGGTGATTTATGGTAGGGTTCGGGCAGATGGCCGAACACTCCGGCCGGGGGGGGGGGCAACAATACAATAACAACAACAAAAATTTCGACATAAATGAAATACTATCATAGAGTACATCCTCATGCGTCGTCATGGAGCGTCGGTTGAGGTTGGTGCGAGTTGCGTTGGAGTGCGTTGGTGGTTGGAGTTGGTGCGATTTGCGTCCGAGTGCGTTAGTGTCTGGAGCAGTAAGCAGGAACAGTAGGCAGGAGTAATAGGCAGGAGCAATAGGCAGGAGTAATGGGCAGGAGCAGTAGGCAGGCGTAGTTGTGGTGGAGTAGGGGCAGGAATACGGTAGGAACAGTAGGCGATATCCGTTGTTCTGGTGATGGCAGAGATTATGGAGGAGCAGTAGGCAGGAACAATAAGGCCGCAAAAATTTAGTAAGGAGAGCGGTGAAACTTCCTCCTCTTGTAGTGGGGTTGCTTTGGTGTATGTGCCTTTGACGGACACATGAGCGCATTGTGGGGAAGCTGGCAGATACTGCATGCTGCCCCACAGTCTTCGGGATGTGATCCCTTTAGACACCGCTCGCACAGCCCCAGTTTGGTTACTTGGATCGCCCGAGACAAAGGGTCGGGGTAGCGATTGCATCTAGCGGAAACATGCCCATCCGTGTTTTCCTGCGGAATGCAGAAGACACATTGCTTCTTAGGGGCATTCCGCTCTAAAATGGTGTTGAGGGTCTGTTCCATGGCCGACAATCTAGCGTCCAGCTGGATGTTGATTGCTTGGAGGATGGAGTGTAGCAGATTGGCGGTCTTCTCTTCGCTGCACTCGATGGTTTTGAGCACGATGGAGAAGCTATCTTGGGTGGAATCACCGTCGAGCAGATAGTTGAATTCGGGCATTGTGAATATAGCCCTGTTGTAAATGCGGTCTTTTTATATGGTTTTTTCTTAGGCTCCGCCTCTACCGCCAGCTGGTCCTGGCCGCTGGTACTGTTAAGCTCCGCCTCTTTATTTCTGAGGCTGCCGAAAAGGAGTTTTTTAAACTAATATGATATTTTTTATTATTTACAACCGGGTGCATTGCATGTTTGGTGGCAACGCTTAATTAGCTGGATTTTCCGTGTGTTGTCGGATGACCCGAACTGTATTGATTGCTCCGCGGAGCAGGTTGATGGCGAGGCACATTGCCTGCCTTGGATACCTTTCACTGTTAATTCAGCCCTTCCTCTGAGGCTATCTTTAAGAAAAAACATTTTTTCTACGGTGGTCAGGTTTTTGTTCTGATCCACTAACGTGTTGAAAATTCCCCAGTATTCAGGGAATTCCTCTTCATCACCATAGAAGCGTGGTAGCTTCATTTGATTGAGTTTCAAAGTTTGACACGCCATTTGGGTGCCTTCTGTAGACATCTGGCTGTCTTCGCTCTCCTCTGAGAGCCATACTGCATCTGCTGGATTTATTACCTCGTCAGTGCTTTTGCTTTGTGCAGGTCGTCCAGAATCCGACGTTGAGTCGGTCTGGGATATATTACTGGTTATTCCCAGTTTTCTCGCCATTTTCTCGGCGTAAGTATGCGCTTCCGCAAGCCTTGTGGTCATCATGCAGACCATATCGTTGGCTCTGGCTATCCAGTCCGTGTAGTTAGTTTCCCTTTCGACCTCTTCTAGGTCTTTATCGGCGTCCGCTTTATTAATTTTGCGGGCCTCCTCATAGTCTCTGTGCAGTTTGTCTATCAATAACTGCAGTGACTCCTTACTAATTTGGATGACCTTTATGCCTCCATTTATGCTGTTTATTGCGTCCCGACACGCTTCATAATTCTCCTCAAATGGGGCATTCAACTGCATTTCCTTCGTGTACGGTGTATATCCCTCAACGAACTTCTGGAGGGATTGAATACCGCGTTTGATTGCCTTTTTGTGTAGAAAGAGTGACATCTTTCAACGGCGTTTTCGTTCAGATCCGGATAGGATGGAACTCTTTTTCTTTTTGCAACTGCTTATCGCAGGGCAAGCTCAGAATCTTCCCGGTCGATGCACCAGAAATTTGTGCCAGTATATCTGGCAGCTACGATGTGAGCACACAACCGTTCCTTACAACGTTTTATTGTGGACTGGCAAGGCTGTCGCCCCGCTAATCCCCGGCCCCCCGAACCCGCCCGCTTTTATGGCGGGTGATTTATGGTAGGGTTCGGGCAGATGGCCGAACAGTAGAAATCTTATATCTTATATATAAAGCTGAATGTCTGTCTGTCTGTCTGTCTGTATGTCTGTCTGTATGTCTGTCTGTACGTATGTTCCGAATAGAAAATTCCATTTCTGAACCGATCGGGACCAAACTTGGCACACATACACTTCGGACCCCGGCGGGTGTCATAGGCTACTTTTCGTCATCGATCGATATTGATTTTATCGATTTTTTGCAAAATTTGAGCTACAGGGCTGGGAGTTGGCACAGGGGGGTAATCGAGCACGCTGATCACCCCGTGGGGGTGATCAGCATGCTCGATTACACCCCCTGCCAAATTCCAGCCCCCTAGCTCAAATTTTGCAAAAAATCGATAAAATTGACATCGATCGATAACGAAAAGTGGACTGTGGCACCCGCCGGGGCCCGAAGTGTATGTGTGCCAAGTTTGGTCCGGATCGGTTAAGAAATGGAATTTTCTATTCGGAACATACGGCGGAGCCGGGTAAGCCAGCTAGTGCTCAAAGAAAAAACGTTTCCAAGGGCTCAAAACACTTTTGAAAAATGTATGAATCGACAAAAGGCTAGATATACAGATT